TCCAAGAAATTTTCTTACGGCTTTCTTGTCTGATGGCTTGGGAAATTCTGCAACAGCAGATGTCTTGGAAGGATCAGGGCTTACACCCTGAGCACTCACGACATGGCCCAGGAATTTGAGCTCGCCGTAAGCGAACCGACATTTTGACGGCTTTAGTGTCAGTCCAGCATTCTGGATAGCCTGTAGCACGGCTCCCAAACGTCTCAGGTGCTCGTCGAAGTCGCTTGCGAATACCACGGCGTCGTCGAGATAGACGAGGCAGCTTTGCCATTTCAAGCCGGAAAGAACGGTGTCCATTACGCGCTGGAACGTCGCCGGTGCTGTGCACAGTCCGAACGGCATCACTTTAAATTCGTACAGTCCGTCCGGCGTGACGAAGGCAGTCTTCTCACGATCCCGTTCGTCGACCTCGATCTGCCAGTACCCACTCTTCAGGTCCATCGACGAAAAGTATCGGGCATGGCGCAGCCGGTCCAGAGTGTCGTCGATGCGTGGCAGTGGGTAGACGTCCTTTTTCGTTACGGCGTTTAGTCGGCGATAGTCCTCGCAGAACCGAAGAGTCCCGTCTTTCTTTTTCACCAGGACTACCGGTGAAGCCCACGGGCTGCTTGAGGGCTGGACAATGTCGTCATCGAGCATTTCTTGGACCTGCTTCTGGATGACTTCTCTCTCTTTCACGGAAACACGGTACGGCGACCGATGCACAGGAAGCGCGTTGTCTTCAGTGACAATTCGATGTTTCGCAACGGTCGTTTGGCACACCTTTGACGACGTGGAGAAGCACTCATTGAACTCGGCGAGAAAGTCACTGAGTTGTCGTCGTTGTGGGGTAGGCAGGGTTGGGTCGATGTCAAACTGCGAAGGCGCTGTTGTCTTAGGTGGCCACGAAGAGAGGTCTTCTGATATTCCGGCGATTGCGGCTGCGTCCGGGAGTTCCTCGGCGTGGCCCACGGCGGTGCCTCTCGTAAGGTGCTGGGCCTCCTGTCGGAAGTTCGTTACGAGTGCGACAGTGCGTCCGTCTTGGAGCTCCGTGACGCCTCTTGCGATGCCGATCCCTCTTCCTAGAAGCAACTGGAGGCTGGCTTCCTTCGAGCAAAACGTCGCCGCAGAAAGTCTCATCGACCCCGACGGGTACGAAAACACTTGACTGCGGCGGTAGGTTCACGTGGTTTGCGAGGACTCGTACCGCGGATGACGTCACTTTGGAGTCCTCCTGTGGTGGAGCAGGTTTTCGAAGCGTCAGCCGGTTTTCTCCGAGGTCGATGACGGCGCCATACTCGCAGAGAAAGTCCATTCCGAGGATAACGTCCCTCGAACAGTCTGGCAGAACGACGAACTTGACAGGGCACGTCTCACCGTGGATCTCCTTGCCTATCTGCCTATCTGCCTATCTGCCTTGCCTTGCCTATCTGCCTTGCCTGGCACGCCGCCGTGTGCGCACCAATTTAAGTGCAAATAAATCACTCACTCACTCACTCACTCGACGCGAGCATTGCATCTCCCGACCGGTGTGATGAGGTGCCCTCCGGCGGTTCGTATCTGAGGTCCATCCCACGGCGTCGTGACTTTCCGAAGGCGGCGGGAGAGCCTCCCACTCAAGACTGAGTAGTCTGCTCCAGTGTCCACGAGCGCAGATGCGTCGTGGCCGTCGATGACGACGTTTAGGTTATTGGACACCGTTGCAGGGGCGTGGTTTCGATCTCTGGTAGCGTTCGAGTGGGGGCCCTCCGACGTTCGTGGAGGATCTTGGCGTCGGTCGTCTTCGGCAACTCGACCTCCAGGGGTTGCCGCGCCTAGTTTCCCCGGCGAGGAGCGAGGGGCGACAGGCTTTCACGTCGGGGTCGGTGCATCGGCGAAGCTGGACGTCGTGGCGACGGCGACCGGAGCTCTCGGCGGCACGTAGGCTCGGGGGACTGAGGTCGTCGCAGGTACTCGTCGATCTCCCGAGGGCGTTCACCATAACGGGGTCGCGGGTCGTTCGGGTGGAACCCGCGAAGCCCGAGTCGTCGGTATGGGCATCGGCGGTAGGTGTGGTCCGCTTCCCCGCAATGGAAGCACAGAGGGCGTCGGTCGGGCGTTCGCCACACGTCGGTCTTGCGGGGTGCGCGAGGCTCCGGACAGGCGTACTGGACCTGGTCGTCGTGGTGTCGGTCGTGCTGCGGCGCAGGAGACTGACGTCGGGGCGGCGCGACATAGGTGTGACGAGGAGGAGGCGGTGGCCGTCGAGCCACTGCGGCGTAAGTCAATGTGGGCTCCTCGGGGGCTGCCACGACGACGAGAGCCTCTTTCTGGAAGGTTCTCTGGACTTCTTCCCGCACAACCTCGGCGATGGAGAGTGAGGCCGGGCGTACTGCAGCGGGCCGGAGCTTCTTGAGTTCCTCCTGGACGACTTCACGGATAATTTCACGGATGCCGGGGAGGGTGGTGCCAAGGTCGGATCCGGATGTCGCCAGAGTGGTTACGCCGGGGTGTGGCTGGTAGTGCCTGGCGCGTGCTTGTAGGGCCCGTTCCATATTCGTCGCCTCCATGACAAACCCGTCGACGCTTGTCGGGGGATTGCGAATGAGGCCGCCGAATATCTCACTTTTCACACCTCTCATCAAGTGGTGCAGCTTCTTCTCCTCGGTAGCCTGAGGATCGGCGCGGGCGCTCAGGCGGAGAACATCCTCAACGAAGCTGGTGACGCTCTCATGTAGGTCTTGGGTCCTTGTTCGCAGGAGATCTTCGGCCCTCTCACGTCGGTGTTGGCAGGCAAACGTCTTCTTCAATTCTTGCTTGCACACCTCCCACGACGTCAAAGAAGCCTCGTGGTTTTCCAACCAGTGCCTCGCAGTTCCTTCCATCGAAAAGTAAAGGTTCTGCAAGCAGTGCTCGGCTGACCACCCGTTATGGCGGGCCGCCCGTTCATAGTGTTGCAGCCAGTCCTCGATGTCCTCGTGTGCGTCTCCATGGAACGGCGTCGGAGTTTTGGGTGCGACCGGCAGGTATACGACGGCAGGAGCAGCCGGGGCCTGCGCCTGGTCGGCCATCGTCGTCTTCTTCGGCTTGGGCTTGTCCAGTAGCAAACCGTATTCAGGATCCTCTCCCTTGATGCGCCGGCTGGTCCGAGTTTCGGGTTCCGCGGGGAGTGGTCTTCTCACTGGGCTTGGTACCGGACTTGCACTGCGGGATCTTGGAGGGGAACGCTGCACAGGCATGCGGTACCCCGCACCTCCACCAAAATGTCATGGGTGGTGACCAGAATAACAATAAATAAACAGGAAGAACTAAACGTTTAATGTGGCGAACTTGTGCCAAAACAAAAAGAGAATAGAAAATAATAACAAAGCGTCGCGAGCGTCGAGGTCGGCGAGACAGCAGAGTCGAGCGCTGGGGCGAAACTGACTCGACAAGGTCGCGGGCGGCCTCTTATCTAGAGTGAGTCACTATCTCGAAGATTCGGCGGAGAAGGTTCGAGCGTAGCGCGCTCGGGGCGAGAATGAACAAGCACTTTCTAGAACAACAAAAGCAGGGATAAACGATAGTTATGTCCGCAGCAAGAATAAACGAGAACTTTCTACAAGTCTGTGACCCTGCGCGCGGCAATACTGCACCATCTCACGGCGTTTGCAAGATATGGGAGCGAATCTTCGGCACACTTCCTTTGTATTGAGGCGGCGCAATTTAGACACCTCTCATTTTTTTGCTGGCGGATTGGGAAGGTCTCTACAAAGCAGACTGCCGCAGAACATATACGAGCTAATTCTTAACGTCAGAAACGGCAGATATAGCAGGAAGTACCTTCACTAAACGCCCCACAGACCAAAGCGGAAATGTGTAAGGGCTATAACACATTCCATGGTTGCCAGCCTTTGTCACCATGATCAATCCTATATAATTTAGTTTACATCTACAGTTAATATTAACTCGTCAGTAAACGCATGTTCTCTGTTTGGTACTATTATGTAGGACATTGAGTAAGTTGATCAGAGATCTCTGATATATGGTTAACACTACAGCGCACAAAAGGACAAAGACAGAGAAAAGACAGAGAATGAGAGAACGTGCTAAACAATCGTTTAGCACGTTCTCTCCTTCTTTCTTTTGAGTAATAAATTCAGTTGCGAGTAAGCGCTTGTGTGTCGTGGATGTTTTTGTTCCTCTCTCTTTACCTTTTTTGCGCTGTACATTCAGCACGTCATCAGATAAACTCGCCCAGCTTACCACACTTCTCCGGTTTATCTAGATGTTTTTACTATATTAAACTAATGAGTTTTGAAGATTCCTTTGATAAACGGCAAGAAGTTTGCAAATAAAAAGACAAAAACTTTTTTTCAGACATTTGAAAGTAGTAAGTTGAACGTTGGGAGTGACGATTCACATGTATATTATGATCCTTGGTTTCAATTCAGATATTAATTTTGGGGGCGAGCGAGTATCTTCATCCTCATCCGTTGAAAGAATTTAAGGTGAAGAAACCAAAGACCTAAACAAGCTTTGGGTTTTAGGCAGCACAAAACAGTGAGCCAAATGATTGCATTTGGCGTGGAATTAAGAGCCGCAATAGCCCGAAGATGCCAAGCTCGAGTCTTGCTTGTCCTCATTTGGTCAGAGTTTGGAAACCTTGACCATATTTTGCCAAACAAGTGCCTACGATAAGCTTCATTCATGGTGGTTTGCATGTCTGACCGAAATCACCAAACAAGTGCCACAGTTAGGCATAACGGCTTGTTGTTTACATCACACGGGGTGGTTTGGTCTCAAATCTGGTTGTTTGGCAGTTCTGTTGCGAGCCCCCCAAAAAATCCATACAACCTCAGAAAAAACAAAAAACTAACTAACGCGTTGGACCAATACCGTATTAGGCCAGAGTAAGGCCCCTAGAATCGAAAAAGACCTCTGCCAAGTTAGATACTTTTCGACCGCGTATTTTGAGTCATAACATTCCAAGCATTATTACCTGACAGGATGCTGATACTATTATGACATTAATGTTTTTTCGGCAAAGAGTAAGGTCCCACCTGGACGTGAGAGGTATCTTGTTTGTGGGAGGACAGCGCCGATGATTCCGATCGTTCTTCCCTTCACACTTACTTTAACACTTTTCTTGATCGGTTTGTCTTCAAGAGCAGGCTCCTTGCTAAAATCAGTATTCGTGCCGACAACACTTATTTTTGCTTGTTTCATTCTAACCAGGAAAGGCGCGAGACCTCCAGGTCCGTCATCAAATTCGTGATTTCCAAGGCACTGAAAGAAAAGCGTTCGCCCATAAAACAAAAATGAATGTTTTCGTATATATGTTTAATCGAGTTTATTTACTCTCAGGGCCCAAAACCACTGCGGAGGTTAGCTAATAAACATGGTTAGCTAACACGTTAGCTAATAAAAAAATACAAGAATACAACTCTGAAATGCACAAACATGCATTAATGCCAATGATCAAGGCAAGAAATGCATCAATACAATAATAAAGAAAGCGAAGAAAATACATCATTTTAAGGATGAACTACGAGAAAGAAAATAAATTGACAAGACAAAAGAGCAAGAACACTGCTAAAAAACATTAATAAAAAATTTAATTCCAGTTTTTGTACCAGCGGCGACAGTTATTGATACTATTGGTGCAGGAGCGCGATTCCAATCAATGAATGGGAAAAAATAACTATTGAAAATTGAGGAGCTACAATGGGTGATGTCTACTTTTAGCTGGTGATATCTGCGCGGCCATATGGGAAAATAATGTTCCACGAAGTTCCGGGTTCTCGTGATTACTGTTTGACTCAAGGTTCAGTCTGTGTCATCCCTTCATTGCTGGCAAGGGGTTCATATTGTTTTCTTTTCTTTTTTTTTTTGGTGGAGTGCGCATTGTTTTTCTTGCTGATCTAAGTTAAAATAAAATAGGTACTGATTATTTTGTTAAATTTTGGGGGAGATTGTAGAGTTATTTTTGTGAGTCGGCCTCGAGGGCGTCCATAGTCTACTTTCTTTATTGGAGGGTTTGGCGTTTGGACTATTTAGAGATTGCCCCTTTGTGTTGGGGGTAGCTGATTGTAAGCTATATAAAGAAGCGGACTAAACAAACATGGTCACTCAGTTTAAGACGTCGTCCTGTCCATTTTAGTTTGTTTGGCTTATATGCGCATTTCTCGCCGGACTCAGATTTATTCAATATGGTTAACATTCACCAGCTCGCCAGCTACCTTACTGTATGAACTTTTTAAAACTAAGCATTCTGAATTTATCAACCTTTTTGATTAGGACCTTATTTCACTGCACGACCCTTTGCTCTGTCTTGGATGCCTAAAAATCGAAATTGCAGAAATAATAAATGTAAAGCGAACCTGAATTTTTTATCTTAAAGCAAATTTTATGGCGAACCCATTGTTTGTTTTGGAGCGTCCGGGGATAGATTTTCTAGGGTGCTCCTATTTTACTGGGCGATCGGGATCGAAATGGCCGTGTTCCACGCGTCGTTTTGTATCAGCTCCCACTCCAGATCTTGACTCGGATCCGAGAGAAGTCGCTCCACCGATTTCGGCGGATTCGAACGGGAGCAAGCCTGGCCAGTCCTCCGCGCACACGTGTGACTTCTTTTCTTGCCGGTCATGTCGCCTCAGAAAAATTCGTATTGGCCACTCGCGACGTGCTGCCAGCTTTGCTGCTGCTGCTGCTGCTGCTGCTGCTTGATGACAGTTCGCCGTCAAGTTCCTCCAACAGCAGCAGAGATGGCAGAGAAGGCATTACTGTAATGCAATTACAGTAATTAAGTGTTCTCTTTGTGGTAATGAGTAATCTAATGAATTTCTTTCAGGCAATAATTTCGAAAAATACTTTTTACTTTTGGAGTTACCTTTCCCCAAACTATAAAGTTCGTTTTCGAGCTTTTAAAAGAAATAAGAGTAAAAAACATTTTCCATGATGAAATGTTTTGAAATAGACATCAGGGCAAGTTAAAGGGACGCTGACAGGGTATTTATGCACGCCGAGGTTTTTGGTTGCGTAGTTAATCCCAAATACCTTGTCAAGGCACCAGAACATTTCGTGCGTATCCTTGGCCTTGTTAAGTAAATGTGCTCTTTGTAGTCGCAAAATACGGGAAGCGAGGAAAGCAGGAAAAATGTGAGCATATATCGCCACCCATTTGTTGGGAAAGTACGCATTTTAGGAAGCTCGCGCCATCTCTTTTCTCAAATGGCTAAGCTTCTGCCTAGAAGACATTCAGCCCCCTTGAGTTACAACGCGCAATGACCTGGGCTTTTCGGGTGTTTGCAAACAATACTCCTTGCGAGGAATGACCGGGATTTCGTTTGCAAACAATACTTCTTGCGAGGAATGACCGGGATTTTGTCATCTAGTGAGTGCTCTGAGGAAAATAGGAATAGATTGAGTGCGAGGCGGAATGGAGGTTTCATGTGGCGACTCCTTGGAGGAACGAGCTCCCATGACCCTAATTAACATACTGACAGAAAATATAACTTATTGCAAATCAGAAAGACGGAAACATGACACTTTTTAACTAAGAACCTTCACTATTGAATAAAGAGCGAACCCTGTAAGTCGACTGTCTTTGAGTCACATCTAAAAAAGAACCTATTCATCGCGTTTACCTGTTACGTTGTGCGCGAGCAAAACGACTGTTCAGTATGGTTCACTTTGAGGCGCATAAGGCTGTTGCGATGTAAACAGGAAGACCTAAGGTATGGTACATATACTGCAAATAAAATTAACGCGAATCAGTGCCTCAAGGTATTAAGAAGTAATGACAAAATAATTTCATTAGTTTTGGAAAGCAATGGTAATATAATGTGTTCACTTTTTGTCTGCGGTAAATTGCAATGTAAATTATTCGCATTTTTGCAATTTTTATAAAAAAAGTAATTAGTAATGTTTATTATGAAACTTCTGAAAGTAATTTTGCCATTTCTGTCCAGCAGCAGCGGCTCAAGTAGCAGCGATCCCGAGGATTGCTTGTGTGTCGCGCATGGATTCGACTGCCTCTTCGGACTTCCCGCAGAAGAGGCCAAAAACCTAGACGTACCTGGACACCGTTCACGGGTATTCCGATGAAGAGCCAAGTGAACTACGCGACTGCACTGACGCAGATCGCTTATCGACATACATCTTTCTCATCACGACTAACTTATCTCGTTCGTTTGGACACGGGCTGTTAGCGCCTCAATTGCGAAAACATGTGCTTCGAGATCCGGGACCGCGGAAAGGGGATCCCGGGAAGGGAAATGGTACGAAGGCATCCGCCGATCAGGGAGGTTGTGGTCAAGTCCCACTAGGGATCCGGATGCGGAGCGACTTCGTTCGAATCGCGTGCTCTATCTCGGATCTGGTAAACTGATCCCGGTGCGCTCCAAAACGACCAGGGGAATTCGCCATTAAATTTTTTATGTTTCGCCTGAATCAAAAATATTTAACATTTGTGGACTTTTCAAAATAAGGTGTAGGATAAAGGTAGCTAATATTCAGAACTTTCAAGGCTTCCACAAATCAGCCCTTACGACTTTAAAACATCTCCAAAAAGCGATACTATTTTTCAGCTTTATTTTTCGATTAATAGTAGAGACGGGAGGATAAATTCACTTATAAGCGCACGTTTCAGTTTGTTACAAATCTGGCAATTTTCATTAAAGTGGCATGTACCGAAATATGATGTTTTTATTATACTGGGTGCTTTAGAATTATCTTACAAAAACAACAAGAATGGGGTTTGTGCAGGCGAGTTATACGGTCAGAAAGATATAGTATCCCAGGTGAGAAAGAGCTTCGGGCAGAAAGTTGGCAATTTTCTGGGAGTTTCAGACCTTGCAAAGCCTAAATAAGCCGAAGTAGAGCCAAATGCGACCTTCCTTGGCAAAATCATGGGTATTATGACCCTAATTCGCCAAAGAAGTGCCAGTGTTAGGCTTCACTCCCTGGTAGTTCGGCTGCCATCTGGAATCTTTGGGACCAAATAGCCAAACAAGCGGCAAAGTTCGGCTTCCCCTTCTAACAGTTCGGCTACCATCTGGCAGCTGTGGTCCAAAGTCGCCAAGCAAGTGCCAGAGTTAGGCTTACTGCACAGGAGTTCGGCTATCATCTGGCATCTTTGGGCCCAAATCGCCAAATTACCAAACTTAGGCTTCATTTCCCGATAGTTCAGCTGTCTTGTGGAATCTCTGGGTTTAAATCACCCAACAAGTGGCACAGGTAGGCTTCCGGTGTGAACGGTTCGGTGGCCGTTTGGCACCTTCTGTCCCAAATCACCAACCAAGTGTCAGAGCATAGCGTCCTCTATACTGACAAAGCCTGGCAGATCGCCACGAGACGCGGCCGCCGAAAGTGAAATGGTAGAGCGGCAGACGAGAGGCATGTGACGGGCGCCCCGCTGCGGCGAGACTCCGAAACACATTTGTCCAGAAACAATGGAATGTCCGCTCGTGCTTCTCGCGTTCATCGGGCTACCGCTTCTTCTCTCATTGGGTTTGAAAACCATGTTTCGGGTCCTCGCCGCTGCAAAAGCTGTGCGCTGAATACCGGACTCCCCGAGAAATGCTTTGTACTACCAGGCCCTCGCTCTTCAAATCTGCGACTGGGCACTTTATGGCTCCGTCACCCTAACTGTCAGGATTTGTGATCATAGAGGAGGCTATGGTAAGAGTTAGACTTTACTGTCTAGTAGTGCGGTTAAGGCTTTGTTTTACTCCGACGTTGAGGGCAGGGAACGAAACGTAGCACCTTGAGTGCGCCTTTGATTGGCCAGCGAGCAGGAACTCGACATCTGCGACCATTCAGTATATCTGTGCGCTGCTCTGCACTGCGCTGCACTGCGCTGCACTGCGCTGCGCTGCGCTGCGCTGCGTTTGCTACGGTCGGCGTTAGAGAGTAACCAAGCCTTTAGCATCTGTCATTTTGGGACCTGGATTCTTTAACAAAGGCCAGAATTAAGTAATCGGGGCAGGTCCCGTTGGCGATGGTTTATTTGTGTTTTGAGGTAGGTGACCAAGGAGGTATTGCTGGTACGCGGGTAGTATGCAACTGAATTAAGCAAACATGACATTTAATTCTGCTCCCTACTCTGCATTTTACTTTGGGTGCATTTCGACGTCTCAAGTACAAATATAGGCCGAATGTTTTGCCGCAGCTGGAGCAGACAACGGTAATTTCGCAAACGCGGGTTGCGGCAGTTTATTATACTCGCGCGTAGGTACACACACCGATATCCGGACGCGCCGTGAGACTGGTTTGGCATTACCGCA